CTCGCATGCGGGGTGGCATTCTTGACGCGTGTGCCACTCGGCTGGGATCTGGCGCTTTCGCTGTCCCTGGTGCGGCTGATGCAGGTGGGGGGGGGGCACAGATGGGCAGCGGTGACCAATTGGGACCTACGTAGTGCTCGCGCCAGAAGGATACGTTCAGCTCCTTGGCAGTGTACCCGCGGCGGAGATTCCTTCGGGTGTAGCCATGGTAGTTGCGGAGGATGCGCGCAATCAGGTCCGATGTGGACACGCCATCGGTTCTGGAGGACATGACAAAGGCAAAAGCGAGTGTCAAAGGTTGGTGTGGCCACAGGAGGCAGCGGAATGGGACCAGTGGATGGGAGGGCGGAAGAGGGGGGCGGAGGGAGGGAGGGAGAGAGAGAGAGAGAGAGAGAGAGAGAGAGAGCCGTACCTTTGGGTGGAGAGGAAGCGCCCCTTCATCTTGACAGCGCCATACACGTCCGAGTGGTTGGCCGAGGGGTACACCTCGGCATCGTGTGCGATGAAATCAATCTTGTGCAAATCCAAGAAGTCCTATCCTCCGGAAGGGCGGAGGACTGTCAGCGGCCCGGGAGGAGCACCGAAAGGGAGACATCGCACAAAAGGGGAAGCCGTACAAGGTCCAACACCCACGGGGCGTCGGTAATCACCTCGTCAACCCAGCGACAGTGACGGACGGACTCGACGCGCTCGTCCTCGGTCATGACACAGGGACCCTTGTTCTTGCGGGTGATCTCGTCGTTACACACTAAGGGGGGCGATGGTGAGTTTGATTGCGTCGGAGGCGAGGGAGGGGGTGGGAGGGCGGGCCGGGCAGCGAGGCAGCGAGATGGACGACGCAGCGAGGGAACCGCAAGAGAAGGAACGCGCACCGCCGACAATCAGGTGAACATTGGGGAACAGGTGCTTGGCCTGCTCCAGCATCCGGGCATGTGCGAAGTGGAAGAGATCGTAGATCCCATCGCAGTAGATGCGGATGGTCTGGGGCGGGGAGGGGGGACCTCGGGATTGTCAGAGGGGGGCGCTTAGATGGGGCGCGATCGGAAGCGGAGAAAGAAAGAAGGTGAGGGGGATGCACGGG